CTCATGCATCATAGTTCTTTACACCAGAATCAATTGTCATATGTGGAATAAAATCTATACAACATGAAACAAGGAACACATAAAGAAGTAAATGGATAATAAAGGAACATATATCCGATAAGTAACTTATATTTACACAAAAAAAGTACTAAGTATCTATATGCTGTGAAAAATTGCACATGTCGGGTTGATTGTTGAAATTATATCTAACATGGAATATAAGAGTATATCTGTTACTAGCAGTGCAGCGACAGATTGATGTTACAAACCAAGAGCAGGTTCGTGAAATATATTTTCCAATCTTTCTTTTATTGATGCCTTCGACAGGCCTTCTCGGTGTTCATTACCCTTGTAGTCTGTTGATTTTGGTTTCTTTCAACAAACAGCTGTTTGTTTCGCGGTACTAACAAATACTAATAGAAGAAAAGTTGCGAAACGTTGTCATTCCATTTCCGAAATTGATGCGCAATAATCTCACTTTGATATGATTATTAATAAGGCGTAATAAATAAAATTTTAAAAGTAAAAACAAACACTTTTAAAGTATTGCCTTTAACAATTTTTCTTTTTTGAGTGCAGGGTAACTTGAAAAATTTTTTTAAATATGGTTGACTATCCTGCACGTCCACGTCGTTGTTTCCGGGTAACGCTAAAAGTATTGAATTAACATCTTCCAAATTCTTGATTTGACCTTCTTGGACTCAGAAAAAAATCTAAATATCATTTTTAACGTAAAATTTTCTGCTCTTTTCGAATCCGGTGTCAAAAATAGGGGTTCTAATATAAAAAAATGACTTTGACCTTCGAATGACCTTGAAAATCGAACTGAAGGTCAAAATTATTAGCACAGTAAAATGATCCCCGTTGTCCTCTACAATTCTTGTCTTAACCATTTTTTTGTAGCTGGTGTATTTTAGGAGCAATTTGGATCCGTCGATTAAAATGGCTCACCCTGTATATGGATTTATGGCTCTTGCACACAGGACGTGGTAATGCTTGCCGCGCAGCAGAAGTTCGCACAACGGGTGTATATCAGTTGGACACGGGGCAATTGGACACAGTCCAATCACAAGTCGCTGTTCCAAGGGACCCTACAAATGTCTCTAATCACACGGTGCTGTGATTGGCTGTGTCCAAATGCACCGTGTCCAAGTGCACCGCTCCCCGCACAACAGCCAATCAATATGTTGTTTTTCCGTAAGAGCTAGAAGGTTATTACGGAAAGCAGCATATTGATTGGCTGTCGCGCGAACTTCCGCCGCGCGGCAAGCATTACTGCGTCCTGTGTGCAAGAGCCTCTTTTATTGATAAAAGACGATTCTGAATATGGGTCATAGACTCTGCGTACAGTCAAAAAAGAAAAGCCAATGGATGCTTTCCAGTTGCGTACACTGTGTTACAAAAAACCAGTTTATTGGTTGCATATTATCTTACAAGATATTTTAGATAATATGTGACCAATAAACTGGTTTTGTGTACGTGTGTGTCAAGTGTGTAAGCAATGGAAAGCACCCACAGACAACTAGTAGCCCTCGAGCTAAGCACGGATGTGTAGTGTTGTGTCGACGATTACGACAATTGGAATGCAATTTGTGTCGCCGTGTGCATGAAAGTGTCTAGGGATATTGTAACTGGAAAGCACCCATTGTAGATCGGGACTTATGGCTCCTACACACAGGACGCGTTAATGTTTGCCGCCCGGCGGAAGTTCGCGCGACAACCAATCAATATACTGCTTTCCGTAATAACCTTCTAGCTCTTACGGAAAAACAACATATTAATTGACTGTATTGATTGACATATTGGCGGACTTCCGCCGCGCGGCAAGCATTACCGCGCTCTGTGTGCAGGAGCCATTATAGTTACGGTTACGGCAATTTGTGTGCGAAGGCCCTAAACGCTCAGTGGCAATGACGTATATACATAGACTAAGCATTCCTATACTTCTGGGCAGTGATCACGTAACTTTTCTCCTAGGGCGGAAATGTGAAAAGTGAAAAGTTTCACGTGAACACGTGATCACTAAACTCGGTAAAATGTAGAAACGTGAAACTTTTCATGTGAACTTGTTAGCCATGAAATGTGCTGGCGGAAAAGTGAAAATCTAGTGACATGATGAATACGGAATATATTATGCTACTGCTGTAATGAGATACAGGAAATATAACAGTTCTAAAGTTATAGCGATGTTTTTAAGATTATATGTTCTACAGCCGATGGATACAGCTGATTTAGCCGATATTGAAATCATGTTTAGTGATTTGTGCTTTTCATAGATTTATTTGATTGCGTAAACAATGAAAAAGTTCACGTGAAATCGATAGAGTGAAAAGTGAAAAGTGAAAAAATGAAAAAGATTTGCTCGAAATTACATGATCGCTGCCCTGCTGTAGCAGCGAGTGAAACCAGAAGTTGGCAGTTTAAAACCGAGTGAGAAAGTTGATTTGCTCCTTAGAGCATATATATATGGAGGAAGAATTGCGTATGCCTCCTGTAGACCAAAAGTATCTCCAAGATTTGTGCGAGAGAGAAAGGTATATATTCCTATTGAGAGCGTCCCGATTGAACACAGTACTATTGGACACAACCAACCAATGAAAAGAATTATCTAGTGAATTACTAGGTCGAACCAATCATTACAATCTGTGTCCAATCGTATCATGGTCAATCGGGTCCCACCCATTCCTATTCCTCCTCTGTGCGCATGCGCCAACATGCGTCAGTTGTTGCTGGACTACAAAATTATTGGTTTCAATATTTTTTTAACTTGAATTCTATCAACTTTATCGAAAAATAGCAAGAGATAAAAATTGTTTTTCTTCTTATAGAGAATTTTTTCAGAATTTTATATTAACTTTTTAATACTGCATTTTCATGCATTTTCTTGCATTTTCTTGAGGTACTAGAGTTAATACAAAATTCTGAAAAAATTCTGAGAGCTCTCTATGAAAAGAAAA